CTCGCCAAGTTGCCCTGGTGGGTCTCGAACCCACGGGCTCAGGCAATCCACTCACCTCAGCCTCCCAAAGGCGCGGGAGTACAGGCTCAGCCACTGAGCCCGGCGAAGGTTAATAATTGATAATTATTTGCTAAATAAGTAGATGGTTGATTATCTACTGAATAACTGTCAGATCTAGCTAGAGACAGAGGGACCATGACTTGGGTTAGAGACAAGCTATTAGAAATTTTTGTTGGGAAATAGCCTTTTGTCTGAGACCTTCAGTTGAAGGCACTCTGCCATTGATTCTATAAACACAAAGATGGCCCGTGACCCTAAGAGTAGGATGAAAAGTATTTGTTGGAATCTGCCCTGGTTTAGAAAAGCTGTTCTTTGTTGTGAGGTTATTGATCAGTGGGGCACTCTGGCAGCTGCAGTCTCTCTGCCTCAGACCTTAGCAGCTTCCAATGAGCAGAGGCTGGCTGCAGGAAAGACAGGATGATGGGCTGTAGACTGGGCTGGAGTACAGTGGTATGATCACAGTTACTGCAGCCTCGACCTCATGGGCTCAGGGGATCTTTCTGCCTCAGCCTCATGAGTAGCTGGGACTACAGGTGTATGTCCCCATGCTTGGATAATTTTCAAGAAAATTTTTTGTAGATATGGGATCTTCCTATGTTGCCTAGGCTGGTCTTGAACTCCTGGGCTCAAGCCATCCTTCCACCCTGGCCCAAAGTGCTGGCATGACAGGCATGAGCCACCACATGTGGCTCCTTCTCAGCCTTATGGTGTGTATTTAATAGGAGAGTTCAGCCTGACTCATTTCAGGAGTTGTGTTGTACTTAGTGGCCATAATGCAGATGGGCCCAGCAGTCAGGATTCCCATTTTTCAGATGAGGAAATAACACATGGATGAGGGCACAAAGGTCACACAGCAGGGATCCCGGAGCTTGTGTCACTTGACTGCCCAGTGCTCTCTCTTTTTAATTTTTATTTTTTTATTTTTTGACTTGGAGTCTCACTCTGTCACCCAGACTGGAGTGCAGTGGCCGCTCCCAGCCACCGCAGCCTCGACCTGCTGGGCTCCGGCGATCCTTCTGCCTCAGCCTTCCAAGTAGCTGGAATTACAGGCGCGCACTACCACACCTGGCTAATTTTTTTTTGATTTATTGTAGAGATAAGGTCTCACCAAGTTGCTCAGGCAGGTCTCGAACCCGCGGGCTCAGGCAATCCACTCACCTCAGCCTCCCAAGGCGCGGGATTGCAGGCTGAGCCACTGAGCCCAGCTTATTTTTATTTTTTAATTTATTGTAGTGACAAGGTTTTGCCATGTTGCCCAGGCTGATCTCGAACCCCTGGGCTTAGGCAATCCTTTCTCCTTGGCCCCCCAAAGTGCTGGGATTACAGGCTTGAGCCACCGTGTCCAGCCGTGTGCTCTTTTAAGAGTAGGCAGAAGACACTGAAAATCACTCACTTTGAAATTATGGAGAAATAGCACAGATATCCTTATTATACCTTTTTAAGAACGAGAATAGCTTGAGTTTATTTCCTTTACTTGTATCTTATTCCTTTTCTTCTTATTGCTTTACAGTTATATTTATGCTAGTAAAGTGTGAAGAATATCAGAAAGAACTTCCAATTCTTTCTTTGTAAAAGTAGAATTTTGATCCCTTATTTTTCTTCACAGACTAAAAGAACACATTGCTGATAAGAAAAAATTACCAATATTGATCTTTCCTGAAGGTAAGAATGGGGACTGCTGACCAAGCTATACTTGATAACAGCAGACCACCAAAAGTATATGAGGAACAGAACTACTTTAGAATTGTCATTCTTTGACTGAATGCAGTGGTTCACGCCTATATTCCCAGTGCTTTGGGAGGCTGAAGAGGGAGGATCACTTGAATCTAGGAACTCAAGACCAGCCTGGGCAATGAAGCAAGACCTTGTCTCCACAAAAAAATTAAAAAATAATAAAAATTATCCAGGCATGGTAGTTTGCCTATAGTCTTAGCTACTCACAAGGCCAAGGTAGGAGGATCACTTGAGCCTAGTTCAAGGATGCAGTGAGCTGTGCTTGCACCACTGCACTCCAACCTGGGCCACAAAACAAGACCCCGTCTCTTAAAAAAAAAAAAAAAAGTTGTTCTTAGTTCACATTTCTGCTGTCCTATAGGAGTGGGACAGTCTTGTCTTAGCTACTAATTCCCTACTTTCTTTTGAGATTCGATGGAAGTCATGCTACCTTTTTTGAATCTCAAAAGTCAGTTCTGGGTATTAAACTCAGATTGGTGTTGTCCATGCCTTTTTAAGGGTTGTGATTTAAATGTACGGAAATTGTCACCCATTGTGAAGCAGTTGTACCTATAGTTGTCAATACAAAAGTAAAAGTTTGTTGTTAAACCTGCTTAGGACTGTGAGATTACTACTTAGGTCAGGAACTGATTTCTGGAATGATAGTACAACGTGTGTAATTTTGATATTTTAATTATTTTATATCAAAATAACTTCTTCGGAAATTTCTTTTTAAAATTATTTCTTTTAAAAATACTCACCATTCCCTCTCCTTCCTTCCCTGCAGGAACCTGCATCAACAATACTTCAGTCATGATGTTTAAAAAGGGAAGTTTTGAAATTGGGGGAACCATACATCCAGTTGCAATTAAGGTGGGACAGATACCACCCTAAAAAAGGCATTGGATTGGTGGCTTTATTTTGCTGTAAATTTTGCATGACTGAGGAACCCTTGCCTGTTCTTTATTCAGAGTCACTAGTTCTGTACATTCTGCTTCATTTCCCTTCTCACTCATTCTCTCTCTCTCTCTCTCTCTCTCTCTCTCTCTTGATTAGGATGTCTAACCTTCTGGCTTCCTTGGGTCACACTGAGTAAAGAGAGATTGTCTTTGGCCACACATAAATTACATAATATAGTTAGTGTATATACATAATAATACTTATTTTTAAATTTTTTTATTATAAAGTTTAGAAAAATGAGAACAGTATAAAACTAGTGAGAAATTTGCCCTTGTTTTTGTAAAACGAATCTTTCAGCGTCTGGTTTGAAGGAGTCGTTGCAAGTTGTTGGTTCTCAAGGTGCTCATCAGAAAGGTTTGATTGAATTTTGCTCTTTGTGTACTTCATCATTGAAAACAGCTGCTCACAAATGTATGTGCTGCCAAGAGTGATTTCCTGAATAATGTGTGACCGTGAGCTTCAAAAATGGAACCACGCATGGGGTCACAAAGAAAATAAACTCAAAAAAACATGTGATGTTAAAAGATTTTGCGGGACCACATTCCTAGCTGTCCTGTGCCTCATCAGGCTATGGGCTGTAGGTTGGACATGCCTGGTCTAGATAGATGTGCACTGGGTGACTTCGTGCTAGGCGTTAGCTACTGAGACACAGTGATAAGCAGAACAGACACTGTCCCTGCTCTCATCAACCTCTCAGTTAAGCGTGAGACAGATGTTAATAGTTACACGAGTAACTCTCCCATGGCAGCACTCCAGGGCTCTGACTAGAAAAGCAGTCAGCACTCATTGGAGGAATTAGCTGGCCTGGTTTACTTTTCTCAGTCAATTCCATCAAGCAAAGCAACTTCTCTTTTTTTTAGGGTCTGATAAAGATATTTGGTCCACCACCTTAAAAACACTGACACAAATGGAAGGTACCACTTATTCATAATTGGGATGTGTTTTCTTTTCCTTTTTCTCAGTATAACCCTCAGTTTGGTGATGCGTTTTGGAACAGTAGTAAGTACAACATGGTGAGCTACCTGCTGCGAATGATGACCAGCTGGGCGATCGTCTGTGACGTGTGGTACATGCCCCCGATGACCAGAGAGGTATTCCTTAGATAACGCTTCATCTAATCAGATAAAAGCGAGAAACACTTTACCCCCAAACCAGGGTGTCTCCCTTACATCATGCCTTTCTACTTTCTCAGAGGAGGGGTTATTTTTTAATAATGTACTTAGCTCTCTTTACATTGAGCCATTTTATATTTAGCAATTTTTTTCCATTATTCTTTCACAATTGCTACTGGATTATTGAATCGACCGACACTACGGAATGTTGTATCTTAGGTAAGACTGATAAAGAGTATAAGAAATATATGCATGATAAAAAATTAAACAAACAGCACTGCATTTTTTGATAGAATTAGTGATATTTGTTATGATTGACTAAGAATAGAAAGTATCTGAGCCAAAATACACATCTAGTATTTTAAAGCAATATAAATGATGATGAGACATTTCAAGGTATTAAAAACTGTATATTCAAGATGCACTTGTAATTTTTATTCTTTAACCAGGAAGGAGAAGATGCAGTCCAGTTTGCTAACAGGGTTAAGTCTGCTATTGCCATACAAGGAGGACTGACTGAACTTCCCTGGTAAGACATATTTCAGAAGTCCTTTTTTTTTTCAATTAAAAAAAATCATTTTTAATAATGGCATTTATTATTCTAGTGAGCTGTGGGTTTAGCTGAAAGTGATCGTGGCTTATACATAATAATAATATCTTAAAGAAGGAAGATGTATATTTCTCTCACTTCAACGTGGGCAGTCAAGGGTGGTATGACCGCTCAGTCTGCATTATTCTACCAGCTTCAGTGTGTACATCTATATTATGGTCCAAGATGGTCCTCCCAACTCTGCTTGGTGTGTGAAGTAAACGACTAGGAGAAAGGAATTAAAAGAAGGAGACATCTATCTCTAAGAACACAAGCCGGAAGTGAGATTTATACTTGTACCCTTGACTAGTATTCAAGTTGTGTGGTAACATACAGCTGCAGAGGAAGCTAGGGAATGTAGTCTCTGTTCCAGTAGCCATGTGCCTGGCTAAAGTGTAGGGTTCTTTTACTGAAGAAGAAAGGGAGAATGGGGCCAGTCGTGGTGACTCATATCTGTAATCTCAGCACTTTGGGAGGTGGAGGTGAGAGGATTGTCTGAACTCAGGGGTTCGAGACCAGCCTGAGCAACATGGTGAGACCTCATCTCTATAATAAATAAAAAAATCAATCAGGTATGGTGGCAGGTGCCTGTGGTTCCAGCTACCTGGAAGACTGAAGCGGAAGGATCACCTGAACCCTGCAGGTCAAGGCTGTGGTGGCCGTGAGCTTGCCACTGCACTCCAGCCTGGGCAACAGAGTGAGACTCCAACTCAAAAAAAAAAAAAGAGAGAGAGAATAAATTTGGGAGTCAAGTGGGTTTTGAGAAGCGAGGAGCTACTTATAGGCTTATTCATCTTTAACTCTAAGTATAACTATAGTGAAGGAAAACTTAATAACTTTTAAAAAGGAGGCTGGGTGTAGTGGCTCATGCCTGTAAGCCCAGCATTTGTGGAGGCTGAGGTGAGAAGATCACTTGAGCCCAAGAGTTTGAGACCAGCCTGGGCAATATAGTGAGACCTCATCTACTAAAAAATACTTACTTAGCCTGGTGTGGTGGCATATGCCTGTAGTCCCAGCTACTTGGGAGTTTGAGGTGGAAGGATTGCCTGAGCCCAGGAAGTTGAGGCTACTGTGAGCTGTGATTGTGGTTTGTGGTGACCATGCCACTGTGCTCCAGGCTGAGCAACAGAGTAAGATATGACTCAGGAAAAAAAAAAGAAATAAGTAAAATATTTTAGTTATGGAGACCTACAGCTTTAGCTTTTTATTTATTTGAGAAAGATTGAACATAGGTGAATGTATTTGTCTGCTTGGGCTGCCAAATCAAAACATTGTGATTCCCCTATCCACGGACCCTTTTAAGAGCCCAGTGGATTCCCAAAACCATGGACAGGTCCTAGATAGACTTTTTTTCCCCTATACATACCTCTGACAAAATTTATTAGGCACAGCAAGAGATTAACAACTATAATACTAAAGTAGAACAATGACAGCAATATACTGACTATAATAAAAGTTATGTAAATATGGTCATGCTTTCTTTTTCTTTCTCAATATATAGGGGGTACCCCAAAACACCTAGAAATTATTTATAAAAAATTATCCATTTATTCTTACACGTCACCTCCAATGTACTCTCCGTTTGATGCAATATACATACCGAGATGCTTTTTCCACTGCTCAAAACAGTTTTGGACCTTGTCAACTCTGATGCCTTTTAGTACTTCCGCCATTTTTTGTTTCACCTCTTCCACATTGACAAAACGTTTCCCCTTGCCTTTTTTCACTGGGGAAACAAAAAAAAGTCATTCAGGGCCAGGTCGAGTGAATACGGAGAGTGGGGCACAGGGGCCATGCCATTTCTGGTCAGACTGCTGAACACTCAGTGTGGTGTGAGCAGATGCTCTCGTAAATCACCCATCATGAAATGGGCAAACTCGTTGAAAGAATCTTCAAGAAAAAAAAATTGAAAACTGAAGCCTAATGCAGCCTCTCCCAGCAACGCTAGCAAGTGCACGGAGGCCGATGGGTTCCTAGAACACTTACCCAGCAGGGGAAGCCTGTACTACAAGGGGCCCACCCTTCAAAAGATAATTCTGGGGTTTTTTTGGGGGGGATCCCCCCTCCCTTGTATATATGGCTGATACTTTCCTTAAGAACTAAGATCGGCTGCCATTGCAATGGGGAATTGGATAAAACTTTGAAGTCACAGTTGGGTGGTTAGAGCATCATGAATTTTACTCAATGCTTGAGAAGGAGAATTGTTCAAAAATAATGTTCAAAACCAAACATTACTAATTTTGACTTTTTAGAAATTAAAAAAAATTTTTTTTGAGTTGGAGTCTCACTCTGTTACCCAGGCTGAAGTGCTATGGCAGGATCACAGCTCTATACAGCCTCTACATCCTGGGCACAGGTGATCCTCTCATCTCAACCTCCTGAGTGGCTGGGACTACTGGTGTGTGCCATCATGTCTGGCGAAGTTTTGATTTTTTTTTTTTTTTTTCCTAGAGACAAGGGTTCACTATGTTGCCCAGTCTGGTCTTGAGCTCCTGGGCTTGATCTATCTTCCCATCTTAGCCTCCCAAAGTGCTGGGATTACAGGCGTGAGCCACCATGCCCAGCCTCATTTCAAGTGTTTACCTTGTTTTGGCCTGGACCTCAGGAAAGGAGAAAAACCTTCCTTCTCTCCCTCTTCTTTCCTTAGTTCTTGCTGTTCAGAATTCAGGTAAATGCTGTAAATAGAGGTAGCTCATTTGGATAAAAAAGGCTTATGTGGAAGATTCTGGGGACCTAACGATAATGTATAATCTTGTTTTATCTTTGTGGAACCCCTCCCCCCCCCCGGATAACTTGTGCATCGCAGTCTGTTTTTAAGTTGAGGACTTACTGGTGGGCTGTATCTTAGATTTAACTCTAGAAGCCAGAATATTGCAGTGGTCTCAGGCAAGCGTCTGTTTGGAGGTCAAGTTCTACCCTCGTGGCATTGAGTTCACTAACTAACCTATGCTCATTTATCAGCAGAAAGCATTTGGTAAACATTCATGCTCCACTGGGTTAAAATTAAACAGTCACAGTATAAAGTAAGCAAGTTCTCAGTGCATGCCCTCTTGGTAGTTAAAATCTAAGACATTAGATCAGGAGGGAGATAGCGGACCCTGCTAGTCCAATCAACTCCCAGCCCTTCAAGTTTGTTGTTTGTGTCCAGAGAAGGAAAGACAGCCCTTAGACCCAGGCAGGTCTGTGTTTTTACCACCCTAGAGAGAGTTCAAAGATTTACAGCCTCTCTGGAGAAATGCTGCTTACATAGGCACTAACTCCTGGCTGAATGCGATTTATGATTTTGTTATGTGTTTTATTTTGGAATATGAAAGATTATGAATCTGGAAATATAGTGCTTTGAATAAAAATACGACTTGTTAAACATTGGGTTGGATTTGAATCATGATTTTTTTTTGAATAATTATTTATCTTTAAGAAATTTACTCACATATACAGTACCCTTGCCTTTTCGTGTGTGTATATTTTAAATATTCTATATGGTTTTCCAGTAAGACATAAGGTAGATGAAAAAGCAATATTTTGTTTTCCTTGGGGAAAAATATAAGGAAATAATCCAGTTTTTTGTGAGTATTTTTGTTTGTTTTTTTGAGGCGGGGGTCTCACTCTGTTGCTCAGGCTGGAGTGCAGTGGCACAGTCATGGCTTACTGCAGCCTGGGCTCAGGTGATCTTTCTACTTCAGCCACCCAAGTAGCTGTGCCAACAGGCATGTGCCACCATACCCAGCTGATTTTTTTTTTTTTTTTTAACCGAAACAAGGTCTCACTATGTTGCCCAGGTTGGTCTTGAACTCCTGGGCTCAAGCGATCCTCCTGCCTCCACCTCCCCAAAATACTGGGATTGTATATAGGTTTGAGTCACCACACCTGGCCTGTAACCCTGGTTTTAATCATCTTTGTTCCAATCCACATATTTAATACAACAGCCTTAACTTCCAAAAATAAACTCAATAAAAACAATATCCCAGTGGAGATATTGTTCTTTATTTTAACCAAGAATGAGAGAGATTGTTTCTTCCTCAAAGTAACATGTTGGGGTCAGTGGTGGAGCAGAGACTCACGTGTGCATCCTCTTGCTTCTTTTTTTCTTTTTTTGAGTTGGAGTCTCGCTCTGTTGACCAGGCTAGAGTGCAGTGGCACGCTCACGGCCACTGCAGCCTCAACCTGCTGGTTTCAGGTGATCCTTCCGCCTCAGCCTTCCAAGAAGCTGGAACTACAGGCATGTGCCATCACACCTGGCTAATTTTTGTTGATTTAGTGTAGAGACAGGGTTTCGCCAAGTTGCCCAAGCTGGTCTCAAACTCATGGGCTTAGGCAGTCCTCTCACCTGGGCCTCCCTAAATGCTGGGATTATAGGCCTGAGCCACTGAACCTGGCCAAAGCCCAGTGGTCTTGACCCCACTATCGACCAGATGCACGAATGTCATGGCACGTGTAATGTATATTAATATGCAAGCCTTGTGCAATCGTTGCTGAGGAGTGTCTTTTAGACATGTGTCTTTCTCTTTGCAGGGATGGTGGGCTGAAGAGGGCAAAGGTGAAGGACACCTTTAAGGAAGAGCAGCAGAAGAATTACAGCAAGATGATCGCAGGCAATGGGCCTCTCAGCTGAGGTGGACGATGATACCTTTGGATACACTTGGCTTTCCTGAACTTGCCCTAGAAATGCAGTGGGTTTCGGTTTGTGTTGTTGTTTTGTTTTGTTATTGTTAATCTTTTCTACAGAATGATGGTCTCTACCTGTCAGTGCCAGAGGCAGAATCCCCAGATGCCCCTTTTGGCTTCTGTTGTTGTAATAACATTAGCTCTGTGAATTGTAGGTAGTTTAATGAGTTAAAACAGATTCTTTTTTTTGTAAAATGATGGCGTCATTGTTGATTGAACGAATGTTTGTATGGAAAAAAAATGCTTCCAAAGTGTGTCTGATAGGGTAATTTCCCCCAATCCAAACTCTCTTTTCTTTTTTTTCTTTTTTTTTTTGAGTCAGAGTCTCAGTCTATTGCCCAGGCTGGAGTACAGTGGCACACGCATGGCCACTGCAGCCTTGGCCTGTTGGGCTTAGGTGATCCTTCTGCCTCAGCCTTCCAAGTAGCTGAACTACAGGCATGTGCCACCACGCCTGGCTAATTTTTTAATTTATTGTAGAGATGAGATCTTGCCAGGTTGCCCTGGCTGGTCTCGAATCCGTGGGCTCAGGCATTCCTCTCACCTCGGCTTCCCAAAGTGCTGGGATTATGGCATGAGCACCGCAACTGGTCCTCTCTTTTCTTAATAGCTTTCTCACTCCCTTCACCCTTAACAGGGGATGACGCGTCAGTGCAAGGCAGCCATTACAGTCATGTTGTACCTCAGGGTTTAAGAGAATAATAGAGGGTTGTATTTAGGAGAAGGGACTACCTTGTGGCTATCTGTTCTGACAGTCGAAAGGAAATGTAAATTATTTTTTACTAATATGTTGAAAGAGATATACTGTTTGGTAAGCTTCACCAAAGAACAGCGAGTGGGAGTTCATGTGTGTGTGCATTCATAAGTAGGCAACTTGCAGACACATTTTAGCCAGCAACTGGTGGTAAAGAGCTTCCTTTGCTTTCTTTTTTTGTATGGAAATCTATACCTAGTTTCTCTCTCATCTACTGGTTGATTTTGTAACCAAACACCTTTTTTTTTTTTTTTTTTTTTTTACAATTTAGTGGTTTTTAGTATAGTCATGGAGTTGTACAGTCAAAAGTACAATCCATTTTAGAACATTTTTATTACCTCCTAAATAAGTCCTGTACCCTTTAGCCATCACCACCCTTCAAGACTCCCCTCCCCCAAACACTAGGCTACTTTCTGACCAAACACATTTTCAAAGAGGAGACTTTAAAAAAAAATCACAGTGAGCCTCTTCAGTATGAATGAGTGACTGTGTGTGTAGCAGCCTCCTCTCAACCCTGGGTGGTTTATTCCTGAACTTTCTCAGTCTCTCAAACAGAAAAACAAAACAAAACAAAAAAACCTGGTATAATTACCTTTTGGAAACTGAGCCTTAAATTTTTTAAAAGGGGAGACAAGTTTTCCTCAACTCACACAGCATAAGCAATGTCTGACAGCAATGTAATGCTGTCATCGAGAGTATTCTGTCTCTTCTAGTAACCATGTCCAGAATGTGAAACAGTCTTACCATGAACATAAATAAATTCTATATTTCTAAATGTGTGTCGTGTTGCTTTCCCCTCCCCTCCCTGATCCTGGTTTTGAGAGAGTTAAATTCTTTCTTATGATAAGCAAGGGTTGTTTGTTGATCACTGCCATGGCATAGCTAGATTTTATTGGACTGGAACAACTGGGGAATGGGAACATGAGCCACGGGCCTTGTTTTTCTTCTTCTTCTTTTTAGCCTAGTTATTTGGACTCTGGCCCTGTGGACTCCGCCTTGAGCAAAGTCACAGACCTCAGTTATTTTGCAGGTGAATCAGGTGATTCTATCTAACTGACTGTATGGGCAGGCTTGGCACTGCGCTGTCAGCATACATACTTCTTATCTAGTCAGATGGGTTTTGTCCCAAAGAAAATGTGCAGACAGGTTGCCCTCAGGGTCATGTACCTTTCTGTTCTCACCTCCCCCTCCACCCTTTCCCCTACAATCTCTATTAGGGGTGATCTTGACTGAGATGAGCAAATTCAAATATGTATGTTGGGGCAACTTTGATTACTTTTTCTCAGAAGCAGGAGTTCCTTTTCCATATTATTTTTATATTCATTTTGGCTTGAATTAATGAATCCATTTTATTAGCCCAGTTCTCAGAAAAGCTGTTCTGTGTGGACACCTATAAAATGTATCTTTTAAAAAACATTTTAATTTTAATTTTTTTAAGATGTGGGGTACAATTCAGGATTAGGTAGGTAAGTGGTCATTGTATAGGTAAAATTTGGGCCTCCCTTAGGTCCTCACTTCACGTGGTTTGAGATCAGGTACGCTCACTGATGTTAGCTCTAGGAACACTGTAAAAGCCACAGTGCTTCAGGTAATCACTAGGTAATTGAATGCTGTCTCAGTCAGAACTATTGTCTTGTGGGTCTGATTTACATAGCTACCTTTCAGGTTGCCCAAAGAATTGCCATGTTATTGAAACCATGTTTCTGAAAAGCTCGTATTGTTCAGGTTTAGCTTATGTTCCTTAGAACTTTTATGTTTGCCTTCCCTAATAATATTTTATACCTGCTTTGGAAATACTGTGCCCAGAGTTTAGTGTTCCCGAATTTTCTGTTACTGTAATGAGATTTCAGGGTAGGCAGGATTTGGTAGAAAAATCTCATCATGTAAGTAAGACCTGTTGCCTGACCCTTGCATAGATTGATTAATTGGTCCTTGAAGCTGGCCTCTTTTTATTTCACCTCTTTGTTTTGGGCATATTTACAGACATCAGGCTCTAGGAATGCTCAGGATTTCTAAAATACCATGTCACATCCTGGATTGGATGAGTAGTCATGTGTGAAACTGTAAATATACTCAGAGCACAACGGAACACACTTATCAAAGTCTAAAGTTGTTCACTACCTTTACTTTCCTTTTGAATAATGTAAGAACCCTAGAGCTTGATTTGCAATCATTCACTACCAGCCCCAATTTATATGCTATTATACTAATAAAATGCTATTATATGCATTTTAATTACTTTTTTAATACTACCGATTGTCATCATCATCATCATTTTATATGATCAATATTTACCTGTACTTTTACTATTTTAAAATTTTTCTTATCCTTTCATCTGGGATGACTTAAAATAATTTTTTTAATAGAGTCTGCCGATGGCAAACTTGACTTTTTTTTAAATGAAAGTATTATTTTGTACTCATTCTTGAAAGTTTTTACTGAATGTAGGAGCTTATGTTTAGACTGACAGTTGTTTTTCTCTAAGCACATTAAAGATCACTCTGTAGTTGCTGTTGAGAACTCAGCTGGTAGCTGAGTTCTTTGAAGTTAACCTTTGAGTGTATTTAAGATACTGCTTTTGCTGTATCTCATAGGTTTTGGTATGTTGTGTTTCCATTTTCATTTGCTCCAAGACATTTTAATTTTTCTTCTTCATCTTTTTTTTTTTTTTGAGTTGGAGTCTCACTCTGTTGCCCAGACTGGAGTGCCGTCTCACATTACTGGCCACTGCAGCCTCAACCTGCTGGGCTCCAGCGATCCTTCTGTGTCAGCCTTCCAAGAAGCTGGAACTACAGGTGCGCACTACCATGCCCAGCTAATTTTTTGATTTATTGTGGAGACAGTGTCTTACCATGTTGCCCAGGCTGGTCTCAAACCCACAGGCTCAGGCAGTCCTCTAGCCTCAGCCTCCCAAAGTGCTAGGATTATAGGCTTGAACCACTGCACCCAGCCAAATTTTCTTCTTAATTTCATCATTGACCCACTGGTCATTTAGGAGCATGCTGTTTAATTTCCATTTATTTGAATTGTACACCTTCCAAAGTTCCTCTTGTTATTGATTTCTAGTATTATTCCATTGTGGTCAAGAGATGATGCTTGATATGACTTTGATTTTTAAAAAAATTGTTGAGACTTATCTTGTGGCCTAAACATATGGTCCCATCCTGAGGGATGTTTCATGCGCTGATGAGAAGAATGCATATTCTACAGCTGTTGGGTGAAATGTTCTATAAATGTCTGTTAGATCTATTGGTCTACAATGTATTTAAACCTGATGTTTTTTGCTGATTTTCTGTCTAGAGGATCTCTCCAATGCTGAGAGTAGGGTATTGAAGTCCCCAGCTATTATTTTATTGGAGTTTATGTCTCCTTTTAGATTTAATATTTGCTTTATATATCTGGGTGCTTCAGTGTTGGGTGCATATATATTTTCAATTTTATATCCTTTTGCTGAATTGATTCCTTTATCATTATATAATGATTTTCTTTGTCTCTTTTTATAGTTTTTAACTTAAAGCCTATTTTAGCTGATATAACTACTCTTGCTCACTTTTGGTTTCTGTATATGTAGAATATGTTTTTTCATTCCTTCATTTTTGATCTGTGTATATTTCTACAGGTGAAGTGAGATTTTTGTAGGCAGCATATAGTTAGATTTTTTTTTAATGCAGCCAATATATCTTTTAATTTGAAGATTTGATCAGTTTAAGTTCAAGGTTGTTATAGATAGATGAAAACTTTACTTCTGTCATTTTGTTAATTGTTTTGTATATCTTTTGTTACTTTCTTCTTCACTTATAATTTATTTTTCCAGTTCCTGCACTATAGAAAACTTTCTGTAGTGATGTGGTTTGATTCTTTTATTTTTATCCTTCGGGTCCGCTCTATCCATGAGTTTATATTTTTATGTGTTTTCATAATGGTAGGTATTGTTCCTTTGCTTCCAGAAGTAGAACTCCCCTAAGGAGAACTCTAGTCAGGTTGGTCTAGTGGTGATAAATTCACTTAGTTTTTGCTTATCTGGGAAAGACTTTACTTCTCTTTCATTTCTGAGGAATAGCTTTGCTAAGTATAGTATTATTGGCTGCCAGTTTTTCTTTTTTTTTCATTTTGCTTGAATATGTCATTCCATTCTTTTTGGCCTGTACAGTTTCTGCTGATAAATATGCTATTATTCTAATGGGGTTTACCTCAGCTAGGACATGACACACTTCTCTTGTTGTTAGAATTCTCTCTTTGTATGTGACTTTTGACAATTTGACTGTATTGGGCCTTGCAGAGGACCTTTTTGAATAGAATCTATTTGGGAACGGTTTTTTAATTTTCAAAAATAAAGAGACAGGGTCTTCCTATGTTGCTTAAGCTGGTCTTGGACTTCTGGGCTCAACCAATCCTCCTGCCTTGGCCTCCCAAAATGCTGTGATTACAGACTTGAACCACTGCACCTGGCCCTATTTGGGAACTTTTAAACTCCCTGGATCAGTTTCTCTCCCAAGACCTGGAAAGTTTTCACCTATTATTTCATGA